AATATAACCTTAAATTCACACTGGAATGTAGAAATTACAATTTTTCAAGCCAATAAATATCATGTAAATATCACTGTGAATGTACAGTGATTTAATATCAGAGTCCTTATTTATGACTTTCAAGCCAACAAATATCATGTAAATGAACATTTAGCCCTTGATTTTCAATTTGGCTATCTTGACTGTCATTTTCTTTCTTGAGTTTTTCATTGGTGAACTAATATGTATATTCTCTGTCAAGAACTACCATAGAAATGAAAACTCAACATGGTTGTCTTGGTCCAAAACTCGACACATGATGAATTCTCTTTCTCTTTTGTTCTTCAATATTTATCGATTACCGATAGATTTGTTCATGAAGGACCAAATGACTGGACCTAAAAAGATCATAAAAGTCATTCTGTCTAAATGAATAGCCAAGAACTAAATCTGGTAGTCTAACTGTGTAACTGACAGAATCATTTAAACACAAAGATACGATCTCATTCTCTTCTGCTTTAGTGTTAAAAAAGATACGATTCAGTCACCCCTGTTAACAAGTTGCTTTCATTTTACAAAAATGAGACCTCTTTTGTGATTCCCTCAACTTGTCATGACTATATGAATTGCTTTGTGGATCAGTCTTCTAAACTGATAGTAGTGATGAAAGTCAAGTGACAGTGTCATCTCTTGTGGACAGTTATATTTGCACAAGCCATTGTTAGGTTAGCCAGATAAATAATGATAATGGGTAATTCTTAAATTAGGCCCAACTTACCCCCAAAAAGTTTTATCGTATACTTGTATATTAGACACAAATGTAGTAAATATCGTGGACTTGCAGTACACTTAACACACCCCTCAATCTTTTTCCTGAATTGGACTGGACAATCTGATTTCAATCTGATTTGGGACACTTGACATGCTGCCTCAGTCTGGTGGCCTAAATTGGGCTAGACAATCCGATGTGGGACACTATACTCACTCTGATGGGGATAGTTATACACTCAGCCAAAATTAGGCTGGATAGCTTGATGGGTCGATAAATGAATAAAACCGGTCCTAACGAGCTAAGTGCCAAACAAGCAAACATACCACATATATCACATTAATTGTAGCGTCACTCATACTTATACTTTAGACACAAACCTGTTAAATATCAAATATGAGACACTTAACACCAACCATGGTTTTAACTTTTCTTTTTATTTTGTTGGACTACTAAGCGTAAAAGTGTCCTAATCTTGTTTTGCCTCTCAACATGTTTGCAGATATGTTGCTGTTGGTAATGAGCCTTTCCTTACTTCATACAACAACTCCTTCCTTAACACAACCTTTCCGGCACTTCAAAATATTCAAACTGCTCTAAACAAGGCCGGGTATGAGGGCACCATTAAGGCTACCGTACCCTTAAATGCTGATGTGTATAACTCTCCTGCAGACAACCCTGTACCTTCAGCCGGCAGGTTTCGGAAAGATATTAATCCACAGATGAGCCAGATTGTTGAATTCTTGAACCAGAACCAAGCACCCTTCACTGTGAACATATACCCCTTCTTAAGTCTCTATGCAAATCCCGACTTCCCAGTCGACTATGCTTTCTTTGATGGGGGCACACCGGTACTCGATAATGGGATCCAATACACCAATGTATTTGATGCCAACTTTGACACGCTGGTTTCGGCCCTAAAGGCAGCCGGGTATGGTGACATGCAAATTTTGGTCGGAGAAGTGGGGTGGCCCACCGAAGGTAACATTAATGCGAATGTCAATTTAGCCTACAGATTCTATAAAGGACTTTTACAAAGACTGGCAGCTAGTAAAGGAACGCCCCTTCGGCCTGGGTACATAGAGGTGTACTTGTTTGGGCTCATTGACGAGGATGCTAAGAGCATTGCTCCGGGTGACTTTGAGCGCCACTGGGGAATATTCCGGTACGACGGGCAGCCGAAGTTCGCGATGGACCTTTTTGGTCAAGGACAGGAGAAACTTCTCGTGGGCGCACAAGATGTGAAGTACCTCAAAAGTAAATGGTGCAGCTTAAAGTCGGATGCCAAGGATTTGAGCAAACTCGCCGAAAATATCAACTATGCTTGCACGTTTTCGGATTGCACGGCGCTTGGTTATGGATCTTCGTGCAATGGGTTGGACGCGAATGGGAATGCATCCTATGCATTTAATATGTACTTCCAGGTGCAGAACCAAGAAGAGGATAGCTGCAATTTTCAAGGTCTAGCAGTGGTGACTGACAGTAACATATCTCAATCGAATTGTAACTTTACCATCCAGATAGCCACTTCTTTCTCACCTGACATGTTGCCGGGGAGCTTTGTGCTTATAGCTGGCTTTGCATTGTTAGGGTTGTTCTGATCTCTTGTGTAGATATTTTCTTAGCTGTTCTATTTTTTATGGTCATTTTATTTGATACTGCTGGGTAGATAATGTTTCTGTGAGACGCTACAAGCCCTGTTGATGATTTAATAAATGTTCTGTTTCTTTTCTCTTCTAGTTTAGGCATAATATACTCCCTCCGGTTCTGAAAGATCTTTACACTTTCCATTTTTATCAGTACCACAATTATCTTTACACTTCCTTATTTGCCTTATTTGGCAAATAAATCTACACAAAACAGTGCCAAACAGTGTCAAACAGTGCCAAACAGTGTACTCTACAGTAAAGTCAAATTTATTTCCTTAAAAACTGTGAAGTCAAAGTGTCAAGATCTTTTGGAACCGGAAGGAGTATAAGCTTGTATATTGACCAATGTGTTGAGCATTATTTTGGGCTTTTTTATTGATGTGTTTTTATGATCAACTTGTTTTGTAGTTGGTAGATGCATTGGAAGCTTAGATGGTAATCAAGCTCTCAGCATGAATAATAACACTATTTTAGACTCCTTTGAATTATGATACTATCTTGTCTTATTGTCTAATACTCCCTCGGAATATTAATGTTCACTACAATAGGTTTGAGCACATTATTTAAGGATGAAATAGTAATGATGGAGTATATGGCCCGGGAACCCCCGGCCCACAGACTCCTACTACTCCAGTGAAGGCCCAACAGGCCCAAATCACAGCGCCCAGAGTACCGAGCAGCCCGCAATACGCACCAGGGGTGCCTTCGGCCCCCTGGTCGAAGGCTAAAACTCTCACAGAACGGGTTTTCTCAAGCAAACTAAGAAACTGGGAGAAAACAGCGAGAACAGTAGCCCTCGGCACCAGGAGCCCTCGGTACCAGGGTGCCCTCGGTTTGAGGAGCCCTCGGCTACTGCTCTATAGCCGAAGGCACCTCACTCGACAGGATCTCCTCTTCACGCGCGTACAGATCACCGTACCCTGTACAACGTCCCATCCAACAGCCGCATTAAATGCGGCCACATGCGGTTGCCAGCGCCAACCGGATGAGGTGACCTCTCGGCCAATGGATGCTTGACACGTGTCCCTGTCCGACATTTATTGCTACTATAAATAGCACCCCCTTTTCCCCGTTGTAAACCACGACATTCATACTGAATATACTCTCTCTCTTACTTACTTGTGCTCTGACTTCTCTCTAAGTTATTCTCAGCAATAACCCCTCAGATATATACCCCCCGGGTACACTATCCATCATTTGGTGCTCTCGTTGAGAGGTCGAACTATCAAGTAAGAAACCCTCCCCCTTCGCCAAAAACTAGCCCTCTACCAAAATGGTGAGAACTACACGTGCCAACTCCAAAAACGTAGAAGACAAGAACCTGGCCCTCGGCGACGTCAACGCCCCCGAAGCCTCTCACAGGGCTCCCGAGGGTGGTGTCATCGCTGGGCTGGAACAGGCGGCTGTCGACCTACGCCTTCAGATCCAACAGAATGCCCCCGATGCCCGCCTCGGCATCGAGGCCAAGAAGAAAAACCGGAGCGATGACCAAGTCAGCCCTCCGGTTCTCACCATCGACGTGCAATCGGCGCTCTCCGCCTTCATCCAAACGCTCACTCAGAACCCGGGTGCCTTCGGCACCCTGGCTCCGGCTCAACCCCAGGTTGGGGAGAACATCATACTTTCCCCTCTGCCACACCCCTTCGGAAACCCCACCCCTCGGGTTAGGAACGACGAAAGGGTAGTGGCCCAAGATACGTCCTCCCAGGAAGTTCAGTCCCGGGACCGCCACAATGACAACAGAGAAAGGCCCCGCACTTCCGCCCTCAACCGGCTCGGAGGAGGGCCAGATCGCCGAGAGGTCCAAGACCGCCTCAGAGGGAAAGCACTCCAAAGGCCCCAGGAAAGCGGAGGGTCTGTCTCGAGGGCAGACGAGGAGCGTCCCCCTTGGGACAAAGGCAAGGCACCCCTTCATGCCAATGATGCTCGCCACCAGATCAACCAAGCCCACTCGGCCCGGGTTCGTTCGCAGGGGGCGGAGACCCTCCCGAAGGACCCCCGGGACGAAATTACTGCGGCCCTCCAACGCCAGCTTGATGAAATGGAGGCCAACAAAGCTCACGCCGCCACCTCCACCCCTCATTCAGACCTCAAATACGAGGCCATGATGGCCAAAATGGAGGAATTGCAGAAGAAGGTAGCCGAGGGCTCCGGGGAACCCGTCATCCAGCTCCGGACCCGGACGCCATTTACCCCAAGAGTGCTGGCGGCCCGGATCCCGGAAAAATACCGAGGGCAACACATACAGCCCTACAACGGGAAGACGGACCCCCATGAACACTACAGCAAATACCAGAACAGCATGATGATGGTAGGGGCCTCAGACGAATATTTGTGTCGTTGGTTCCTCTCCACCTTAGAGGGGCCGACATACGAATGGTTCAACAGGCTGTCCGAGGGCTGCATTGATTCATGACAAGAACTCGCCCAGCGATTCTTGACACAATTTGCCGGGAGGCGTCGCACGAGGAAGCACTTCTCCCACCTCCTAACCATACGCCAGAAGAGGGATGAGACCCTTCGGGACTTCCTGGAGCGCTGGAGGACGGAAGCCGACAAAGTCGACGGTGATGATGACGGGACCCTCCTGGCCCTCCTACAAACTGTCCTCCGCACCGGCAACTTTTCAAGGAGCCTCATCATTGAACCCCCCCGCGACTACATAAGGGCTTTGCAGCGGGGGGATCGATATGCTGAGGCCGAGGAGGTGGAGAAATACCACCAGCATCCGGATCAGCATCTCCCGAGGGCTGACAACAAGAACAACCGAGGGCCGGGGGCTCCTCCAAATTACCCCAAGTCTTCAGGACCCTCTGATGACCGCCCTCGGCAAGGCCAAGCCAAGCCCGGGGGGGTTATAAGAGCAGCCCTAAGACTTGGTCACAGCCCATCCTCCTGGACCGCCCCCGGACACCATTGACGCACCCCGTCAGCATCATCCTTGATTTTGCCGAGGAGAGGGGCCTCGTTGAGCGCGATTCTCGCGCACCCCCGGAAGTACATGCCATCAACCCTCAGTTCCCCTACTGTCGTTTCCATCAGCATCAGGGGCACAGAACCGATGACTGCCATCAGCTAAAGACGGCCATCGAGAGATTGATACAAGCGGGGCACCTGTCCCAATTTGTTCAGAGCCCTCGGCAGGAGGGACCTTCTCATCAAGGACCTTCCCGAGGGCATCACACGAAGGCGAACGCTTGGGTAAACCCGAACACCATCCCCCTCGGCAAGAAGAGGGAGATCGGAAACTTGGAAGAAGAAGAGGAGGAGTACCCCCACTACCAGGAGAAAAAACGCCACGTCCTCATGATCACCGGTGGCAATACAGGGGGCGATTCCACCAGCCAGCGAAAGAAGTGGGCTCAATCGCTTTACGTGGGGGAAGTCACTCAAATGCCCCCGGTAAAGCGGCTGAGAGAGCAACCCATCACCTTCACCAACGCAGATCTCCCTCCTACTTCTTCTCCTCACAGGGATGCCTTGGTGATTCGGACTGAAATAAACGACACCATCATTCACCGAACTTACATTGACACGGGCAACTCCGTCAATGTAATGTACCTCAGCACCTTCAGAGAGTTGCATCTGGAGAGGGGGTCCCTTCGGCCCATTAAGACCCCTCTTGCCGGCTTCACCGGCGATACTATTGATTCCGAGGGGGTAATAACCCTCCCAGTGATCTTCGGCGACGGGCTCCATAGAGCCCAGCTCGAAGTGGAGTTCGTCGTTGTCAACATCGACTGCGCCCACAACATTATCCTCGGCCGGCCAGCCCTCGAGGACCTCGAGGCCATCATCTCCATGAGGCACCTCTGCCTCAAGTTTCCCGCCCGCGCCTGCTATCTTCAAGTCACCAAGAAGGTAAGTAAGACGGAATTCCGTATTGACACCATCACCGGAACCATCGACCAGGAAGAAAAAAGGCCGAGGGCTGAACCAGCCGAGGACGTAGAAGACTTTGCGCTCGATCCGGCCCACCCGGAGAGAGTCGTGAAGATTGGAGCCCAGCTCCCTGAAGATCTGAAGACCGGTATCACCGACGCCCTCCGCGCCTACTCCACTGTCTTTGCATGGGGGCCGGAGGACATGCCGGGGATAAGCCGAAGGGTCATCACCCACCGCCTCTCGGTAGACCCCTCGGCAAAAGCAGTACAACAACGAAGAAGACCCCTCTCGGCCGAGAGAAGGGAATTTGTGAAGAAGGAGGTCGCCATGCTCCTCTCTATTAAGCACATCAAGGAGGTGAAATATCCCTCATGGCTGGCACACGTAGTCCTCGCACAGAAGCCCCCTACCTTCCGCATGTGTGTGGACTACACCGATCTCAACAAGGCGTGCCCTATGGATCCATTCCCTCTACCAAATATTGATCAACTGGTGGATGAGACCGCAGGGTGTGATATCATGTCCTTCCTCAATGCCTTCCGAGGGCATCACCAAATTTTCATGCACGAGGAGGACGCCGAAAAAACTGCCTTCATGACTCCCGAGGGCATCTTCTGCTACTTAGTAATGGCCTTCGGCCTAAAGAACTCAGGGGCCACTTACACCCGGATGGTGGCCCGAGTCTTTCAAGCCGTCCTAGGGCGCACCATGGAGGCCTATGTCGACGACATGATCGTCAAAAGCAAGCAATCTTCCAGCCATGCCGACGACCTCCGGGAAATCTTCGCCATCATGCAGAAGTTCAACCTTCGGCTAAACCCGAAGAAGTGCACTTTCGGCGTCCAAGGGGCAAATTCTTGGGCTACATGGTGAGCCGAACGGGTATTGAGGCCAACCCTGAGAAGATCCAGGCCATCATCAACATGGAGCCCCCACGCAATGTGAAGGAAGTTCAACGGTTGACGGGCCGCCTGGCAGCCCTCAACCGCTTTCTATCTAAATCAGCGGAGAAATCTCTACCCTTCTTCCAGATCATGAGGAAGACGGACGGCTTTCTATGGACTCCAGAATGCCAGGGGGCTTTCGACGAGCTCAAACGGTATCTATCTTCACCCCCTGTGCTCTCAAAGCCAAAGGTAGGGGAGACCCTTTATCTCTACCTAGGGGTTAGCCCGGCGGCCGTCAGCTCTGTGCTCATCTGGGAGGAAGACGGCATGC